AGGATATTGTCCTTTGCCGTGATAGCCGTTTTGAGGAACCGAATGTTGAATAGGGCAAACTCTCCAGCGCTCGCGTCCGAACACATGGTGGTAAGCAGACGTCGATACGTCCAGGATGCATCTAATTCCTCCGCTTGCTCATATTGATCCTGAAGCATTTGCAGTGTCGTTCCCAGATCATTTCTCAGCTCGATCGAACTTGAATCGCGATGGATATTGGCAAGGAAGCGGAAGTCTTCCAAGTAGATGCTTTCTTCTGACATGATGCTGGATTTTGAAGTAAAAGGCATATTAAGGTGAATGGTAGACTAATATTGATGTTAAATGTAGGTATGAGTTATGTACAACTATGTACAAGGATTTTTTTGGGTCGTGGATGTTATTGCCATCATTTTAATGCTGCTTGTTGTGCATACGGGGCCTTATGCACATTACTTTCTTGATTCCCATAAAGAAAAGTTTGACTACCGTACTGATTGCTTTAACAGTAGTATAAAGGATCCACCCCAAAATTCTAGCACCGCACGTAAGCAGAAAAAGATATGTTAAGCCAACAGTGATGGCTAGTCCCACCATGGCTGCTGCCAAGGTTTTGTACCATTGCAAAAATACTGACACAATATGTCCCAGATCAGGCCAGGAGCTGTCTGAATGGGATATTGACTCTCCCCTCAACCATTGTTCTGCAATTCCTTGGGCCGAAGCTGTGAAATTGAGGATACTGCTTATTTCAAATGAGGTGCTTATTTGTCCGCATGAAGCAGAACATTGAAGTTGGTTCCGTGCTTTGGAAAGGCTGAAGCGCAATATTGAAGCGATCCCAGTGGTACTGCAAGGTATTGAAAAGGCGGCGGAATCGCAAATGACTTCAGCTTGGATGTTGTTTCGAGGCGATTTGCAAAGGACCTGGGCTGAGCTACCTTTTGGACAACTATAACACCCTTTTAATTCGTCTGTGGTGACCGTACATATTGCATCTTCCGTCAGTATTTCAGTCTCCAACGTATCTTGAAATGACGAAATGACAATATGATTTTTGAAGTCACCATATTAGTAATCGTTGACTGAACTTTTGACTGCGGGTGTGGTCGGAACGATATTGATGGGAACGTCACCGGTAATAGATTTTCGATTTTACTAAACCATGATGTTATTGGAAGGTCTCTGCACTTGCATTTAGCCGTCGTCTCTGCGGGCCAACACGTGCAGTCCTCGAACACTTCGCATGCTAGTGTTTCTGCGTCGCTGAAGGTTGCGCATCTCAAAGGTGGAATGATGTTTTTTCCACAGAGCTGTGCCTTTTCCATTGGTTATGAACTGAGTGTTGAGCAGAGGTATTGGAGGTGTTCCAACGTTAGTGAGCGCAATGATGAAGGTCTTCCACTTGGCGGGGACATTGGGTAAAAGCATTTTCGTAGCTGTGGTGGACTCTCCGGTTACGTCATCAAAGTGTGTAATTTCTATTTTGGCGGCTTCCGTCCATCTATTGCAGTGAAAAACTTCAAACACTTCGTTACTAACGGGTTCTAAGTATATCCGATAAAATAAACATCCCGAACTCAAGAGAAAGCAGTCGCACCCAAGGCCGCCACAGGATTATACACAGGCGGTTTTGCCTGGATATTGGTTCCCTTGTGCTAGTTCGGGTAGTAAACTGGTGGCATTAACGGCCGCACACTTGTCTCCTGTACAGGATCCGCTATGCGGGCAGCGTTTACTATCGACTACCTTATGGATTGTATCTCGAGTAAAGGAATCTGTTGTCGGCTCGCAGTCCAGTAGTAGCGATTTCCACCGCAACCTTATTTTATGCACTACTGTACCATTCCGTGACAAGCGGAGGCATGCTTCCCGTTTAAAAGGGGTGATTTTGAAGACCTCTGAGAGTTGGACTCGACAGCTGCTGTGTGGTCCTTGTGTGCAGATCCGTCCATCTGTTGCAGTGAAAAACTTCAAACACTTCGTTACTAACGGGTTCTAAGTATATTGGATAAAATAAACATCCCGAACTCAAGAAAAAGCAGTCGCACCCAGGGCCGCGACAGCATTCTACACAGGCGGTGTTGCCTGGATATTGGTTCCCTTGTGCTAGTTCGGGTAGTAAACTGGAGGCATTAACGGCCGCACACTTGTCTCCTGTACAGCATCCGCTACGCGAGCAGCGTTTACTATCGACTACCTTATGGATTGTGTCTCGAGTAAAGGAATCTGTTGTCGGCTCGCAATCCAGTAGTAACGAGTTCCACCGCGTCCTTATTTCATGCACTACTGTACCATTCTGTGACAAGCGGAGGCATGCTTCCCGTTTAAAAGGGATGATTTTGAAAACCTCTGGGAGTTGAACCCGATAGCTGCTGTGTAGTCCTTGTGTGCAGATAATGGAATGATGCGTGAAGAGATTGACTTCCTGGCATTGATGGGATAAACCTGCCTCAAGGACTATTGTTATTATTGCAATAATTTGGGCTAACCGCCTTCGAGAAAGGGGTTTTGGTCTACCCTTCAGGAATTGAAAACCTCTAATCACCCATCTGATTATTGTCCACATTATGCGGGCAGCTAGTCTTATTGGATGACCGAGAACTATTGGGACATACAGGAAGACGTAACATTCTGTTATAAAGCAGTATAACATAATTGTTGTTGCGAAAATAGCACTCTTTGGCCAGCATTTAGGATTTAGAATGTTTGCTAAACAAAGGGTGCATGAGATTGACTGGCAGAATGGGCCGGGTGGGTACATAATTTCCGTGGCCTGTCTGTGAATTTCCATTGTACTAAGTGCTCATGAAGTACAACCTTTGGTGGGAATGATATATTCTCGGTGGGTTGCGGTTCCTTGAACTGAGCGCAGTATTGGTCCGCGCAAATTTGGTACGCATTTCTGGAGGCAGATATGAGCCACACTCCC